TGTTATGCTAACTAGTCAAATACATGTATTGCCATCAGATGTCAGAGACTGCTTAAAGGAAACTATTCATTTTCTATTGCTGCTGTAACCAACTACCATAAACTTGGTGAGTTAAACCAACACATTTATTTCTTACAATTTTGGCGGCTACATGTTGATATCAGTTTCACTCGTCTAAAATGAAGTCGTTGGGCAGGACTGGTTCCTCCTAGAAGCTACCCACTCTCCTTAGCTATGTCATTCCAAAATTGACTGCTATTGTCACATCACCTTGTTCTCTTTGACTTTTGTGGTGCCCTCTCACAAGGGCCCTTGTGAGTACATTTAGGCCCACCTGGACAGTCTAGGCCAACCTCCCTTCACAAGATTTAGTATGTGACAGTGTGTGTACTGATAAAAAACAAATAGGGAGCCTTTCATTACCCACTTTCCAGATCAAGACATAGAAGATGACCTTAAGCATCAGTGTCTTCTGGCTATAGCCTTGTTTTCTTTCATTCCAAGGGAAATCTTGGTATTTGAAGCTCATTAACTGCTGTATTTTTGATATGTGTATTAGAATTTTTGGGACATCTTTGGGGACCCAGTGATTGGAGAGCGACTCACCTGTCCAGGGATACTTCATAAAGTCAACCCTTTGCTTGGGAGCGCTTTTATGCAACCCAACCACTTCAGAATCCACATCCAGCTACCTCCTTTATCTGACTCTCACACACCAAGTCCCTTGCCCCAATGAGACCCAGGAAACACACAAATAGTCATTATGTCCAAGTTCACTGAAGTTATTTAACAGGCTAAAACTAAGCTGAACAAGTCCTAGTGAAGGCTCTTCTCTGATGCCTACTTTCCCCTCCTCTCACTCAAAAAAAATCACAGTGGGATTTCCCACTCTCCTGGTTAATTTATCAATGGGTTTCTCTTGATAATCTAACACAAGAATTAAAAACTCAAGCCTAATAATTATTGGGTATTTTAGTGTGCACAAGCACACACACACACACCCACCCCCAAAGTTTCATGATTAAGCAGCATGCTAGTTAGTATTCTCCCAGTGCTATTCTCAGAGGAGCAGAATTTTCCAGATAGAATAGATAATAACACTGGTCAACTAATAATCCCACAAATATGAATTGTCCTCTCTATTGGCAGCTATTAATCTACATGGCGAGTCTATCTTTTTAGAAAGTGTTTTTAGAAAGTGTTTTATACTTATAAAATCAAACCATCAGTACTAACCACTACTTAACTAGGGGCTTTGATTTCACATTTTTAAGATCACATCTTGTGTCTTCTGACTAAAAAATAATAAACTCTTTTCCCATATTAGAAATATTATATGGTTGGCGTGAATTTACATTCAGAATTATAGAGGTTCTGGTAAATGCTAGATAAAAATCAAAGTATGTTCTTACAACTACAGTATATAAAATTGCTCCTAAGTAGATGAGCTTAATTTTTACTGACTCCCTTGCATCAGCTGCTTCCTTAGTAACTCACGCCATCCTTTAGTTTGGTCATATATAGTGGTCTCCATTTTTTAAAAAATGGTGACTGCTGGGCCCTCCTCGGTGGTGCAGTGGGTTAGGATGCAGCACTATAAGCTGGATGCAACTGCTTAACAGTGCGAGTTCAATCCCCATCCAGGGAGCTGACCCACACGGTGCAGCAGACCTCTACTGACCCACCCGCTGCTCCGCTCAACAGTGTACTTCGTCAATCTGCCTGTTCTGTTCCCCGCTCTGTCTCTAGTGAAGCCTCTTACCACCCCTGGCTTGTATCCCAGTTCTGTATGCATAAATAAATAAATCTTTAAAAATAAAAATGTGACTGTCATATAAATATCCCACATTTATTTATAAATATGCTCTGTACTGATATCTACTCATTATAAAACTTAACATCAAAAAGATGAGATTTAGAAACAAACAGAATTTCTGTTTTCTTGCATATCCACTGGGTTGGTGAGTGCAGTCTACATGGTTGCTTTCAAAGTGTTACTACCTGACCCAAGGAATTTCCTTTGGCTATTTATTCTGCTTTAAAATAAGAGAAGGTTTCTCTTTTAGGTAGAACACAATCCGTGTCTTTGAGTGCTTTATACTGTGTCTTGTCTTTTCCTGCTCCAGCTCAGAAACTCTGATAAAATCTTTATAGGGTTACTGATTGTTACAACTGCAAGTAGCCATTGAGACTGAGTCATTTTGCAAGGTACAGTGTGAGGACTGGGAAGGCAGGAAGGGGTATTACCAAGGTCAAAGAAGTAGTTAATGATTGAGCATGGATTAAAATTTAGCTGCATGAGTGAGATACTTCCTAATGCTATTTGAGTTATCTGTAGATTGTTTATGATCAGGAAAACAATCTTTGATGGATTGGAGGCAAACACTGAATTCAGATGCCACAACACACATGCACTGAAGTAGAGATACCTAGAAACTACTCATCTAGTCCTCTATGCCTTTGAACCTGGAGCTAGGAGGGCAATATTGATTACAGAACACACTTTCCAGATGAACTGCTTCAGATTTAATATTATGCAGAAATTGCTTTCTTTTAACTTCCAGAAGTAGCACCTAGCAGTTTGTTAAAGTATTAAAGCAATATTTAATAGTAGTCTTGAGGAAGAAAAATAGCTACATGGGCCACCAGCCACTTTCAGGGAACTGTATAAATTTATCCTTCTTTACAGCATTAATCTTTACATAAGATGAGTATATCATGTGTTGAGTGCCTGATTTCCTAGGGTGGTATAAAAGGGAAGGACAAAAATCCAAGTTCAGCAGGCCAGGATCTAAAATTAAACCATCGGTAAAATGCAGCGAGTGCAGTGTTCACCTTGTTCTGTATTGTGAAGCAGGGAAGGTATGAAGTTTTGCCTGGAGTGAGGTAAAATTTCATACTCTATAAGTCTTCACTGTCTGGAGAAAACACAAACATTAAACGTCAGAGGTCCAGTTGAACAGGGGGTTCAAGCACAATCCATAAAGTTTATATATATATAGTATTCTAGGAGTTAAGAAAGCATAAACACTACTGTTTAATACAACTTAAATTATAGTCTCAATATTGTCTTAAGGCTGTTCATTCCTCCTATCCTGCCATGGTCTATAGACATGTGCTTACCTAATGGACAAACTCTAAATGAAAAACACTCTGTGGATATTTGTTTCTTTGGAATATCTGTATGTGTTGAGAATATAGCCTGGCTTGGGAACATTTCAAGTTGCTACTTATTTAATCATAATAAACAAATATATCAGCCTAGATAGTTATCCATGGGGGGGGGGGAAGCCAAATCAACCAACCCAGCTATAAAGAAACATTTTTGAAACAATCATGGAAACTTTAATATGGACTAGATATTAAAATCGGGATTATTGGTTTAGTGTGATGAAGGCACTGTGATTCTGATGACTCACTGTTATAAGAAATAGGCTGAAAAGTGTTTGGAAATGACATATTTTGATGTCTGCGATTTATTCAAATGGTTTAACAAAAAGGCACACCTATTTTCTGTATACTTGAAAATCTTCATAATAACAATTTAGGGTTAGAGGAGCAAAATGCAACTAAGAGATCTTCTTAGCTAAGAGTACTGTGAAGAATTTCTGAGCAGTAATTTCAACTCACCCTATGGATTTGTAGCTCTATTTTTTTTTGGCCTTTTTCTAGTTTTCATTTCTGTTGTAACTTTCAGGGAGTTCAGCCTTGGGCCAAGCCGTCTTTAAACACACTGAAGTCAGTAAGATTTAGCAACTACAAGCTATCCTGAGGGGGTCAAATCTGCACCTTTACATTCCTGCAGGATCACACCCGCACCTTCATTTTCAGTTTACAATATTTTGCATTTCCCAGCAGTCCTATCAGCCTTTGGGGTGGCGTTCTTCTCCTTTTGTTAATTTAACAAACACCCACTCATTCCCTACCCTCCACCCCCAAGCTTTTCTTTTTGGGTTCATAGACAAAGCAGAGGACTGCCCCCCCTCGTCATCCACTGTTGAATTTCTGTTTTGACTTGTGTATACATAAAATACTTGTTCAAACAGCTAATTTAATGCAGTTTACAAAGAAAATCCTGGAAGAGATTCAATTATAGTTTTTTTGTCATCCTGAGATTTTTAAAAGCTAATTTATGACAACTGTATGTACAGGAGGCTGACATCATTTTAAGTTAATGAGCACTCTGACAAGGCAGTGCTACCATTAATATTCAGTGCCTGCTCTACATCCTTCAAATTACAGTGGTGTTTCTTAACTACCAGGCGCAGGGCGCCGGAGGCTGTAAGTACGTTGGTACTGAGGGCTTGTCTACCGTGCTCGCCTGGATGCATGAGGCTGCCAGGATCCCGTTCAGTTTTGGTATTTGTGACTGATGTCTAGGAAGGTGTTCCAGCGACCTGTTTCTGGTTTACGACTGGGAGACCAATTTGGGCCAGTGAGGGGTCCAGCCGAGTGTGCTCGAGGCGTGGGCGGCTGTGGAAGTGGGAGAGCGGGAAGGAGGGTCTGAGTGTGGCCCTTGGCGCCTCTTTGACCAAGATGGCTCTGCCAGCGGTCCGCGGGCGCGGCCATCTTGGTAGAGGCCGGAAAGGGGCCAGCGCGACCGCTGCTGGGCAGCCAGATTCAAAGGTCACAATGAGTCAGTGACCCGATAACGTGGAGCGAACCTGGCGACGGCCGGGGCCGTGCGTCCAACGACTGCTGGTCCGAGAATGGTGAGGCGGCGAGCGGTGAGGCACTGCCTGCAGCTCCTGGCGCCCTCCGCGGAGCCGGCGCGGCGGGGCCGGGGGCGGAGGAACCCGCCCCCCGGTCCGCCCGGGCTGCGCCCCCGCGTCTCCATAGAGATCCCCCGGG